TTGTCGAGGTGTAAAAAATCGGTTTGGTTAGTGGTAAAACAGTGTGAGGTGTATTGAGGTTCTCTATTTGACAGTGTATTTTGTGGCTGACACAAACGGTATAGGCTCACAATATCCATAGCTGAGCTGGATGCAAAATCGATTCTAAATGGGATCATGTAATAAATTATTGTTACATTTATAATTTAGTAATCGCGTGATTTGGGCTAGAATGATAGAAGTCTATGTTGTACACGCGATTCCTCTTTTCTTGACTGTCTCCTTCCATATCATCTATCAAACTTCGACAAAGAAGTACTGCAGATCAGAAAATACAGAGAATCATGATATTATGAAATAAAACAGATTTCTGTCATTGATTGATTTTGTTGCATTGGAAAACATAAGATTGAATAATTATTGGTGAAAGGATTTACGGATTATACTATTTTTGACAGCTTCGAAGATTCACGTTCTATAGTGTGAGTGTGCAGGAAAGGGCTCTGTGAACAGGTTGTTATTTGATTCCTTCAACTCTCAACAAATTCATCCACAACTTCACAGAAGCACATTCAAGCTGTGTGTGTGAATATTTTTTAATTCAGCTTTCCATGAAGATTCCGAAAATAACTCAAACGTGAATCATCCAGTATAATGAATTTCTACTCATATATGTGGCAAATTGAACATTAAAATCGATCTGTTCCAGGAGATTTCTCAAAGATAATTTGGTTAAATATTAATGTATTCAATATCTACTTTAAGAAAGTACTGTATAGGCAAAACATTTCCTTCAATATTCCTATTAGAAATGAATGATAGCTTTGAGTATGATAGTTTAAAATACTGAACCAGTTCACATTTTGGAGAGAACCAACGTAGTGCGGGTTCAAGAACTGGTTGAAAACCAGTGCACCACCAGGTTTACGAACGGAATTAGCTTTAAGACAACCACCTCAACAGGCACCTAGAACTCATAAGGATCAAAGATGATCCCATCTGCAGATGGTGCTCGGAGGATGATGAAACATCATCACACATACTCAATGAATGCCCCACGCTGGTGCATCAGAGGAAAGCTGCCTTTGGGAGCATTGTACCGTACCCAAAGGATGTGGAAGCGACTCAGCTGAATTGCGTCAAAGAAATCGGCATGCCCAGCTGATTCACAGGACAAGTGGGCGCACAATGGGCCCGACTGAAGAGGTCTGAGTGCAGGGGTCTACGCACCCGCCCACCTGTGCAGAGAAGAAGAAGAAAAAGAAGCTATAAGAAACTACATGAACTAACGGTAATGGAATTTTCAGATTGAATGATTAGAAGATTCGTGAATGAAGTTATATGGGCCTATTGACTCATAGCAAAACAATACCATTTACCTAGTTTTAATTTCCGGAAATTGTCATGTATGACGTCACTGATGGATTGAATAAGCTCCAAGTTCGATTCAAGGTATCAAACTGCCAAGGACATCTATTTATTGTGTACAATCGAAACGACTAATGCACTATTGGCCAGGAGCGGATAGGCCATAATGCATTATAAGAGATCTCCTGGAGAAAGACAAGTGAAAACACCCGATTGAGCCAAAATAACATTTACTTTTGCTTTAATTATTACTTTTTCCAATTCAATATAGGTCGCTATACAGGGTGAGTCATAACTATTGGGACATATGGTTAGGGCGGATTGTTTGAACCAAAACATGGCGATAAGATCGACTATGCCTCAATGGAATATTGCTGTGGAAAATGATACAGGGCGTTGAAGTTTAATTTTTTTTTCGATTTTTGCTAATGGTTTCACTCTATATTCATCAATTGTTATCAAAATCGGCACAGAGGCATAATTTCACACAGAAAATATTATTTCATGTATTAATCTACAGTTTGTTACATGGGGAGCCACGTGAATATTTCCTGATGATGAAATCTAATGATAACTTCCTTTGACAGAACTTTTCAATGATTTTGATAAAAAAATATGATATAAACTTCATTTCTACAAAATATTGGTACGATAATAACGCAATTCAACAGTTCAAAGTATTGGAAGGTGATCTCAAATATTATTCCATTTATGAACTGGACTGTCATATAATTGATACTGGTGAAATACATTTCTTGTCTGTGAATTAATTTTGGTGCGAGTTTATAGTCGATACTTTTTCGATTGAAATGTCGCCATATTTTGGTCTAAACAATCCGCCCTCAGCCTATGTCCCAATAGTTATGACTCACTGTGTATATATGTCGGCGTCAATCAGTGATATTCGTCGTTCCCTGAAATGCCTAGTAATTTCACGCAAACAGCGTACAACTCTATATTTGTCGTTACTCTGTTTGCGGGAAGGTTGGAGAAGGAAAACGTCTGAGCACAAAAAAGGAGACATTGAACCCTCTCCCTTGGAACGGGGTAGAAATTCCGTTCGCCCTAGAGGCAAAATACTCAGGAGTCATCTTTGACCATAAGTTAACATGGAATCAACACCTACAAAAAATTGTTCAAAAAAGTACAGTAGCCTTCAATCTGTGCAGACGAATGTGTGGAAAGAATTGGGGACTGCAACCAAAAATGACCACATGGCCCTATGCCAGCGTCATCAGGCCTATGATAGCATATGGGTCAGTAGTTTGGTGTCCAAAGACACAACAGGCTGGAGTGATTCGAAGGCTCAGTGCTATTCAGAGGCAAGCGTGCCTGAGTGGCACTGGTGCAATGAAAACCACTCCAACAGCCGTTTCAGAGCCTCTTGAACTTACCACCACTACAAATATATATTCAAGGCGAAGCCAGAGCAGTCGTGAGTAGATTGTCAAGGGGTCAAGCACCCATAAGCAACGCGCACGGTAAAGACTATAGGAAGCTATATGAAGAGTTGGAAAGCGACCCCTTCATGGGGATGCCAACGGATGGAATGATTCCAAAATATAGCTTTGAAAAAACTTTTGAAATAAGTATAACGGACAGAGAGGCATGGAAGGAAGGACCTCCTATCAATGCAGACATTGCTGTCTATACGGACGGCTCCAAAACGGATGAGGAAGGATCAGGAGCTGGTATTTATGGGGCCAAGCCAGAGACAAGAATCTTTTCAGGCAGAAATTATTGCAATACATCATTGCGTGAAAGAATTGATAAGGCAAGAGTTTGAAGGCAAAACCCTTGCAATCTATTCAGATAGCCAGGCGGCAATCAAAGCAGTCAACTCTATGCAAGTTAACTCAAAACTAGTATGGGACTGCTTAGAAACCCTAAATGCACTGGGCAGTCAGAACAGATTGACTCTAGCATGGGTACCAGCACATACAGGGTACGAGGGCAATGAAGAGGCAGACTCACTTGCCCGAGCAGGAGAAAACAAAGCCCTTAATGGCCCAGAACCCTTCTGTGGTATTGCGAAAGCTATACAAAAGACTAGTATCAAATCATGGATGCAAACCAAATCTCAAGAATGGTGGAACAACTCGCCAGGAATGAGACAGGCAAAAGAGTTTATTAAAAAACCATCGCCAACATTCACAGAATATCTACTAAGCCAGAAATGAAGTTCAACTAGAATACTAGTGGGACTTCTCACAGGGCATTGTATGGTATGGGCATCTCGGAAAATACAAGAGATACATATTTTGTTGAATCAGAGAAAAATTGCGCGAGTGATGGACCGACAAAATGACTCTCAAAAATCTCTGATTTTTTCCAGGCGTTAATAATGAAGTTATAACAAAACTGAAAAATCATTTTCATGGAAACTTTTGATGCTATTCGATCAGTACCTATGTACTTATAGTGGAAATAACGTGCACGTCTCATTAATTTCGACCTACGATTTCTTCTATGGAATTGTTTCTCGAAAAACAATAATAGTATATTTTTACAACGACTAATCGGTAACTTGTTCAAATAAGTTATCGATTAACTATCTTGGCTTATTGTATTATATATTGATAACAACCACCAGAAAACGCTTCATTAAACCACAATTTAACACATTTTTATGCTTGAAATTACATTGAAACGCTGATTCATAATAAAATTCACTAGCTTGTCAGTAACAATTTGTATTGAAATAGATTTGAAGAAGAGAAATAATGGTATATAAAAAAATATCAAATGTTCACTTAGCTTTGGACGTTTCGGGAACGAATCTGCTCCCGTTTCCAACATGAAAAATGGTTATTTGAATAGCAAATTCGTATTTGTCTTGACACTTCTCAGTTGTCAGTGACAATTGGTGACGTTGGCAATCAAATGAGTTAGAGGATGTTTTCAATTTTGAATTTACCATTTTCATCTTCAGATTTCAGTAGTGAATACCATGTTCTATCTATATCAACTGAACAGGAAGCAATGCTATTGTCACTGAGAACTGGTAAGTAAGACAAATACGAATTTATTGAAATATCCATTTTTTATGTTGAAAACGGGAGCAGATTCGTTCTCGAAACGTCTGAGTGAAAATTCGATATTATTTTTATACACCTTGATTTCTCTCCTCCAAACTTTTTTCAATACAAATTGTCACTGACAAGCTAGTGAATTTTTCTTTCAGGCTCTCTGATAGGAAAATTCTTTAAACGCAGTGACATTCTGTCCTTACTCCTCGTATATTGAAATAATTTTTTTTTTATTTCATAGAAACGAGGAGAGGTAATCCCAAAAAATCTGGAATGATGAATGTATCACCTCCTCGATGAACCATGACACCGATAAGAATTTTTGTTGTATTTTTGAGCATATGACGGTATTAATAAGTCAAACAATAATTATATTGTCATTTTCAAGTTGTGAAAATAAGAAATAATAGTATATTGCCGCTATTCTATTCCATGTCGGTGAAGTACCCATATACTTACTCGTTGAAAGTGGATGCTTACTGTGTCCTTAGAAAATTATTGTTCTATTTATGAGGTATATCAGGTTCGAGGATTGAGGATTTAGGAATAACATAAAATGTACACAGAAAAAAAAATTCAAATCGAAAGAATCATGCATTTATTGAAAAATATACTAGAATCTATAGGGACTAGAAAATATACATCGTTATATATGTAGTGGCAATCGAGGATTCCTTGTTATATTAGCAGCAATGGAATTGAGCGAACGGTCAATTCTTGAACACTGTTTCGAATGGGAAATTCTGAAAATCCTTGTTCAATATTTCCGTGAACGCTGTACTGACGAGATCGTTGATGACGGGACTCAAGATCACGAAACCAGGTTGCCATGCACGATTGATAACCCAGTCCAAGAAATTTTCTGAAAGGAAGACAGATATATCGGTTTGTGTCGTAACTCCTTCAAGGTCAAATCAATAAGGAAACCTTTTGCATCATATGATATGATACACAGGCTATAGTGAACGATAATTTGATAGACAGTATTATTTCCAAAAAAAACTTCGTAATGAAGCAATTCAAGAAGTTCAACAAGTATATTGAAACACCCTATATTTTACTCTTTGTTAAAAACTCTCCACTTTGAGGATGGACTACTACCTTCACTACTTCAAGAAGTTTATCCTAGCATCAAAAACAATAATCATCATTATAGAACCTCAACCTATTTCAGATCATCAACTGAAAAATTAGCTTCATTTCTACATAAACATGACTCAAAGTTGTCCTTATATAAAACAAATAACGTTGGGAAGGTTTCTCCGAGGGTTTATCAAAAATAATAATGACGAAACTTCTAAATTCGTTAAATCTGGGTTCACAAACTTAACTGTGGATCTCGTCCTAAGGTATAGTAATGAATATCGGTCAGATATGTCGTGAGTTTAATCAGTGCATTCATGAACATAAGATGGAGTTTTTGACAAAGGAAACAACCATATATTAGAAAAAATTAGTTCTGATGATAATTTCGAATTTCTACTCGTAGAAAATAAAAGAATGAAAAATATATCACATAACGATCAAGCAGACCTCAATATACTTCACGATATCACAGGGTAGAAGCTGTCGTTGAAATCGCCGATTATTTTCGGCAAAATAGTATCACTTGTGGTATTACATATGAATATTCAGAACATCATATCACTGTTAAAAATTCTGTGGTTTGAAAAAATCTTACCAACAACTGTTCTTCCCCCAGCTAGGTTACCAATATGCATCTCCAATTTTTGACATGATTCCAGATTACACTTCACTTTGATGAGTGGGTTTTTCAGTGGGGCATTTTTTCCAACTGGTTTCCTGGAGATAGTAAGCGTCTGGACGTAGTCAAAAAGTGCTAAGTTCCAGGTACCTTGGTTGCGAACCTTCTGTCCGAAGAATGTTCCTTCGATTTCGTACAAACCATTCAGACGCTTGTCTGGAAATGTTTGAGTCACTCGGATTTGATTTTTATCGAGATCTGTCCTGAAAATTCGATGAAAAGTTATAGTAAATGAATACAAAATTTTATTCGATTGTTGGTCTAATTCCACACTGTATGAGAACGAAATATTTTCGAACTCATGATCAAAGCCAAATTCTTCACGTTTTCATGAGTAATTTTTTCGATAGTGATCCTTTCTACAAAGTCAATGACAAAGTATTAATATTATGGAATAGGAATATGAATACTGAATCACGTGACGACTTTTCTACCTCATTTTGGTTATTTGGGATTGCGTCCAACCACTTTCTGTTACATTTCTCAGTACAAGTTTGTAGTTGAAGAAAGGATTGCTCATCTTTTGGGGCACTTCTACTGCGAAAAATGGATCAAAAGATCCGATTCCATAATCTGGTAATCCTGCAAAAGGTATATGATAAGTTGCAAGTTTACATGTGGTTTTTGCTTTTACCGCTCGAAAAATATGGCCTGAGATCATTCAATCCATCCTTTAGACATTCATCGAAGGTTGTACTAGTAGTTTGACAGTTCTGAAAGTGTTCCTCTGAAATAAAAAAAAAACATGGCGAATAAATACATATTATTATAGTATTATCGTATCTTGGAATTAGGGAACCATCAAATAAGAATAAATCCTGAATTGCATGATATTTTGGCATGCTCTATTTAGATTAATTTTACAAAATGCGACTAATGAATTCACATATAGGTACTAATGATATGTATAAACCAAAAAAGGACGATACATTATCTGATGCAGATCAAATTCAATTTGTTATATACCACTGCTCTAACAGTTTGTTTCTTACGTTTAATTTGTTTATTTGTTCATGTCAATGCAAATTCTCAACTTCAGAAGATTTTTTTTCAAATTCTTATTGTGAGTGTTCAATGGATATAATTCAATGTTCGTCATGGCATATAGCCAGGAAAGTATTTGTTTTCTGTTGAATATTAAATCGAGAGAGAATTCATATCTCATCAGAAGGAGAATGCGAATTCTCATTCAATTATTCTTCATTGATGTCATAAGTATAATAAAGCTGAGAATGTTCATTTTCAATGATTTTATACCTAATCAAGGGGTTCGAACATGAACGATCGAAATTTGTTTTAACAAACCTCTAATCACAGAATCGTGATTGGGTCTTCTCAATTCAAAATTTCTTTCCACGTTCTATACGATGGATATCAATTTATCATACACTATAATCGAAAAATGTTACTTATTTGTCTTTTTGGAAGTGAATTGGTGGAGTTTCGGATTCATTGAATGAATAACACAGGTCATTGGATGTTCTTCTGTTGCATGATAATTGCAAAAATCTTTGTATATATCTTGATTAGACTTTCGCTACGGACAATGACCTACTTGATTCAATCGAATGTTATGAGGTGTTATATGTATGCATGCTCCTCTGTGACAGAGATTATGTAAGATGAGTACTGCGATGAAAATTGTTAGAATATAAATTAAACCCAATTTCAACCAGTTGTTGAATCTTGAAGTAGAAGTGCACTAAATTGTCATATTTTTTCATGTTCTGAATACTTCAATATGAATCACGATGAGCACTTCTTTCAACCAAGAAAGTATAGTTTGCTACTGATGAATTCGAGGTGAAAATTCATGAACCATGAAAAGAATCAAGATTATACTGCAGATACTGTAGATAATATCATTTCGAAGATAATTCAACACAACACTGAAATTATATTTATAATTCCCACATAAATGGATGCAAATAATGAATCTACTTTCTACATAAACTTTTCGTGTATTATTATGTACCACCAGACTACAGGGCTCCATTCAAACAATCACTTATGAACTTGAGTGAATACGTTATGATGAAACGAAAGAAAAAACAAAATTTTAAATTCCCTCGAAAGTATCTGCTACATTGCAGCCCAACAAATAAACCATCAACCAACAGTTCAAACTTACCTAAATTTACCTGGCATCTCACTAATAAAGCACAAGACACAATCAATAAATATTCTATGAACATATTCACCATTTCCAAAGACTATAATCCACTACCTAATATCTATTGATTAGATTTAACTCAATAATTCCATGAATCTTCCGCAAATACTGGTATTTTTAAAATAATTTGATAAGTACTGAAAGTGACTGGTTAACTTTCTATCACTATAATATCCCACTAGTAAGAATAGGTAATGCAACCAGTAGCGTTCTTGATGAATTCATTACGAAACCAGACATATTGTCGAAGATTTCATATCTTGAGGTGGACTGGAACTATAAGAAGAAATACATACAGGGCTCGCTATGAATGTTAATTCATTTTACAATAAGAGTAGGTATTATTTGTGTTCTCGTGCTCGTCAATTTATGAATTTGTTTTTATAAACAACATCCTTGAATAGCAGGCGGCTTATAAATTGCTTTATGTTAATTTTGATTTTTCATGCATCATTTTGGAATCAAAAACAATGACAATGGCAATGACCATGTTTGAAAATTAGTATTTTTTCATTTTTGCTTTTGGGTGTATGATAAATTGACATTCATCATACAGGGCGTGGAAATGAATTCTGAATTGAGACTCTATCACGAATCTGCGATTAGAGGTCTATAAAAATCACAAGTTTCCATCGTTCAAGTTTGAACCCCCTGATTGGGTATGAAAGTGTTGAAAAGGAATATTCTCAGATAAATTATGAACATACAAAAATGGATATATATTTATATAAAGCAATACATTGAGAATTCGCATTCTCTATGTGATGAGAATATTTACTCTTTTTCAGTTAATTCAAGCTCATCAAGATCAGAGTTCATGCCAGTATACTTCTCCTATACATTCCAATTTTCATTTCAATGCTGAATATATTGGTAAGTCATATTTCTAGATCATTATTCATCATATTATTCATCCGATTTGAAGAAGAATGTCAATTCTCAATTTCGGAGGATTTTATTCTTTATTTTTCATATTCCCCTTTTGAATGTTCATCAGATATAATTCAATGTTCGACGTGGCAAATAGCCAGGAAAGTAGTTGTTCTCTGTTGAATATTCAGAATGATGTGTGTATATACATATTTTTGTCTGAAGGAGAATGCAAATTCTCAATTTCAGAAATTTTTATATTTTATTTTCAAACTCTTATCGTGTGTGTTCAATAGATATAATTCAATGTTCGTCGTGGCATATAGCCAGGAAAGTAGTTGTTTTCTATTGAATTAACTGAAAAAGAGTAAATATTCTCATCACATAGAGAATGCGAATTCTCAATGTATTGCTTTATATAAATATATATCCATTTTTGTATGTTCATAATTTATCTGAGAATATTCCTTTTCAACAGTATTTTTTCAGTTTCTTAGTTATCAGAAGTCTGATATATTAAGTACAAAATGATTTTTGCATTATAATCTTCACATGTCAAGTATATTTTTCCAATCATATCATTTGCTTGTGAATCGATCTGATAGATGGTGGCCGAGGATCAACATGAAAATGCTCGATAGCTCTGCGGGGTGGTCAAGAACCAGTTAAATTGTAGATTTTTTCCTTTTATCGAGATGTCAAAAGCTGGATGAAATAAAAAAACGCTTGAAATCAATGGCGTAAGTGTATTTTTTTTCTTTTTTTTTTCAAAACACATTTTTATTCATATGATTATTGGTAACTACAATAATTCTGAGCATCACAGAATAAAATCTAAGTGCATTGGCTCTTGATTTTCAAATAATCATACAAAAATGTTCGTTACCACATTTTGATTAGGCATTGGATAATCATTCCAGGAATATCAGGTAAGAATATCAGTAAATATACAGGGTGTCCCGAAATTGCTGGGAAATATCTATTAGCATTATTTGAGGAAAATTCTTGATTTCTTGAGAAATACGAAATTTCTACAAGAGTTGCAAAAAGAAGTTGATTAATCATTTTTCTCGCTGAAAGAATTCGAGAACCATCTCACCACCCCTAAGAATGAAAAAAATAAAATTATTCCCTTAGATATTCCTATAATAGTGGAATTTCCAGCGCTGTAAACTATATTGAAACAATACTATAATATTTCCATTTATGAAAAAGGGGAGAAAACATCACAAAAATATATGAAATAAGAGCTTTTATATATTTTTTCTGTGACGGAAAGATAGTTTGAAATTTCATCTTTATCGACAGGTTATGAAATATCACTTTTCATGAATCACTTTTTTCCCATGTGAAACAAGTCAGTACTTTTTCCCGGATATCTATCACATATATATACACTGTTGATGGCTTCTGTTGTGATATAGTTATGAAAAATAAGCCAATAACACCGTCTCCGAGAAAGAACTGCAAGTCCTTTTATCCTACATTCGACTTGGCGGTTACGTAAATTACTAAACTACCACTAAATTGACAATTTTTCAAAATCACAGAATTAAATACTTCAAAAGAATGTTGAAGATGCCTGCAGCAGGTGTCATTCCTGTAAAAAACTTCAAATTTCACGTCGATAATTTTCTAATTTTAATTTAATGTAATACCTTCTCAATATTGATTCGTCCTTTTTCCTGTCACAGAAAAAAATTGTCTATTACGAGCTAAGATCTACAACTTTGTCCCCTTGTATAATAAACAACTATTTTTTGTTTTTGTTTCCCTGAATAGTTTCTAAATTTATGTGAGAAAAAAATAAACGTATGTATGTACATACATCTCTGATATACTTTTGGTATCTCATGTTGTATTTTCACTTGATATAGCTATGTCTGAAGAGTCTTCTATACATTGTATTCCGTTGTTTCATAGGTGAATATGAGAAACTTCTATATTTTTTATAATTGGAATTCCCTTCCATGCGCTCCTTGACATAAAAAAATGTCATCAGTATTGAGATTTTATCGAATAAGCCGCAGAAATGTTTATGAAATTGTTTCGTAATGTCTGCAACAGGCTTATTTATGGAATATCGATGAGGGCTCAAGTTTTCGAAAAAATGGTGAAAATTTAATTTATATTTTCAAGTTCAAGAATGTTTTATAATGTTGTGTCGAGAACATTTTCGCCACGTAGAAGAAGAATACATCAGGCATTTTTCGCATTTGAAACAAAATGAATTGAAATTTTGTATCAATTTCACAAAAGGGTAGCATTTTGGAATATGATGTCCTATCTGAACGTGTTCGATAACATTTCTCATACATTATTTCAGTTCGTATTGGTGGAGGAGGAGGGTAATTTCGATTGTCACAATGGGGCATATTTTTCCAAACTGAGAGTAGATGTTCTTTGAAAATCTATGGACAATTTTCAAGAAAATACCAGAAGGTATAGATATTGTTTCGAAAGAATCAAAAGAATTCCAATAAAATCATATCATATTATAAATCTTAATGCATTCTTCACTTCTGATATTACAGATGATTGTGAATATTAGATAATAAACTTTCTACTTCAATCAAATGTTATGCAATATAGTAGGTGAATTTTGAAGTGTTCAATGACCCAAAATCCTGGCTGGTCTTAACATCATTATCATTATGAGCAAATTCAATGTTGACTTGATCTTTACGTTTTATCTTCCAGTTTCGACTATGGATACTATATGGATATTCATACCGGAATAAACGGTCTTTTCAGAGTGATATGGGACAAAACAAAATTGTGATTTTGGGGTTACAAATTAGCAATTGGTGCAGCTTCTTGATGCGATATTATGTTACTCAATGAGTTTTTCTTCTCAAGTGACATCAGATTCAAAATTTCAAATGGGACAACCTGTATATGACATGACTATGTTCCTCCAGATGAAACGATTCCAGCCAACTTTCTCACTCTTGACAGGTACTTCAATCTTCAATATCCTTTGTACCAAAGTCTCAAGACCAAAGTTTTTGATTTAATATGAATGATTATTGGTTCAATCTTCACAAAAATTATAGGACTACCCACATATACAGGGTATAATATGGCAATTGCTTGGTTCAGACATTGTCGTAATCGTCGTGGAACAAAGGATATTGAAGTACCTGTAGATCTTAAACTAATCGTTTTAGACCACAAGTGTGTGAAAAATTTGAATCTGATGTCATGCGGCCGAAAAGAAGAAGCTCAATGGGTGAAAAAATATCAGAAAAAGCTGCATCAATTGAATGAATTCACTACCTCGAATTTATAATTTTCTACTACTCTCGAGTTCCAAAATATTCCTTATCTCAATCGTCGTGGATCACCCTGTATAAAGGAGCAAGGATAAGCAAGACTGTTTGAATATCAAATGAAAGTATATCGAACCATAGAAGAAACTACTAATAATACTCGAAGTCATCTCCACGACATTTTAATATGATCAAACAGATCAAATTACTTGATACATGTTTCGAACATATCCATCCTCAGCCTCATCAATTAATGCTTCATATCGTGGGAATGAAAAAAGGTTGAGTTACATCTTATCTTAATGAAATGAAACGAAGATGGGTTTGTAAACTGAACGAACATCACGAAAATAAAAAATAAACGCGCTATCCAACACTTCAAACGAACTAGTCATCATGTTTTTTCATTGTGTTTTTTATCATTTCTATTCGTTTTCCTGAAAAAAGAAATATCGATTCTTCAGGAAATTGTTTTGCAAAGATCAATCGTCGATTGATCGCCATCTCTAGGCAGAATGCAATTCAGGAAAGTTACGTCGATAGGAACTTTTCAGCTCATTTTTTTCATCTCTTGGAGCGCACGAAAGGAAATTCCTATAATGTTCGAAGAACATCGTGCGTACCTTGGGAGGATAGGGAGAGGAGGTAGGTGTTGGATTTTTTTGGAACTTTTGAAGGTTATAAGTTCTTAGGAATACTTCCATTGGCAAAGAATTCCATTACTTTTCTATACGGTGTTCTAATTAAGTCAAGTCAAAGTATTAGTGAGTGTGGCATCAACCACCAGGCGAACGGCACTTCTCTAGATAGAATTAAAGGGCATCAGCGTATGTTTGGGTGCTAAATCCCATATTATGTGAGAACAGAATTCTAAAACTGGCCGTATCTGTGCTTTGTAAATCATGAGAAGCTGTTGAGGTGTAAAGTAGAAGGAAAACACGTGAAAATGAATTGAATCATCAACTGCAGATGGTCAACATATGGCAGAGTGGAATGATATTAAAATCATTGGATGGAAAAGAAGATAACAACCAGAAGAGAAAACTCAAGAAATCTGCTTGCATTCTTCTGAACAGAGACAATAACATTGCTTCCTGTTCAGTATATATAGAACATGATTTTCACTACAGAAATCCGAGAATGAAAATGGTAAATTCAAGATTAATTGATGAAAACATCCTGTAGCTCATTTGTTTGTCAACGTCACCAATTGTCACTGAGAACTGAGAAGTTTCAAGACGAATACGAATTTGCCATACAAAAATCCATTTTTCACGTTGAAAACGGAACGTCAAAAAATGTGATATTTCTTCTATATACCTTTATTTCTCTTCTCCAAACCTTTTTCAATACAAATTGTCACTGACAAGCTAGTGAATTTTTTTTTAGGCTCTCTGATAGGAAAATCCTTCAAACGCAGTGACATTTTGTAACAAATCATCTGGTTTGTCCTTATATTGAAATAATATTGATATTTTTTTTCTGTGACGGGAAAAAAGTTTGGCATTTCATCTCTGTTGGCAGGTTATAAAATGTCACTTTTCATAAATTACTTTTTTCCCGTGGGAAAAAAGTGAGTACTTTTTTCCCGGATATATATCACATATATATACTCTGTTAACGGCTTTTGTTGTGCTATAGTTCCGAAAAATGAGTCAATAATACCGTCTCCGAGAAAGAACTGCAAGTCCTTTTATCTCCCATTCGACTTCGCGGTTTCGTATATTACTAAACAACTACTGAATTCGCAATTTTTTAAAATCAAATCACAGAATTGAACTGACAGAAGTGACATCAGAGATTTGATTACTTCAAAAGAATGATAAAGATGTCTATAAAACGCAGGTGTCCCTACTGTTAAAAACTTGAAATTTCACGTCGATAATTTTCATATTTCGAAATAATGTAATATCTTCTCAATATTGATTCTCCTTCCTTCTGTCACAGAAAAAAATAGTGTATTATACACGGGAAAAATATTAGATTTTAGCTCACGGTTTTTTGTCTCCCTTCGCTACGCGTCGGGAGACAACACAACCTGGAGCTAAAATCTACTACTTTTTTCCCTTGTATAATAAATAACTATTATTCCATAGAGACGAGGAGAAAAAATCCCAAATAATCTGGAATAATGAATGTACCATACCTTGTCGATTAAGCTACAGACAGTATTTATCATATACATTGATTGATGTGTATGTATCAATATGAATGTCAACAATAAAATAATTAATTTACACAATAGTATACTAAGTACACTTATTGGTTTTGTGGTCTTGCATATTTCATTGCAATTAACTAATCATGCTGTATGTATAACTACTAGAAAATGTCCCCTAATGATGCGTTTAAGTCCAATAAGAATGGCGTTCACATCCAATCTCTTCGGAGTCATGGACAACGTACCCATTACAGAGTGTACACGGTACTCTTGACGATAATATTACAGTGCATTGCATATTGTCGTAATATTTGCTTTAAGAGAAAGTGAGATATAGCCGACAAAGTCACTGTTCGGACCACGTTAGGACAACATCAAATAGACGAGTGCTGTTGAAATTTGAAGCATTTTGTTGTGCCTTAGAGTGGTCAATATTGAGTGGGTAGTAGTTTTTTTCTTGATTTTTCTACCCAACTATGTGGAGATTATGTTTTTTTATTGGGATTTGCTTGTTGCCAGTCTTCGGGTCAGAGATACGTAAGTCTTCTTAATATATGTTTCTTTATCCAAACGATCTGAAAATACAATACGATATAATTGTACATTATTTGAAAATGTACTGAAAAAAATAACTTCATGATGTACCTAATATACAAAAAATTGCAGCACATTGATGCTTATTTTCCACACATTGCAAAATATCGCTGATATGATAATATAGCAACAATAATACTTGATTATAATTATTGAAGAATACAGATGAGAATACATACAAAACATACAAGTTGAATGATGTTATTATAGGCATAAAATTCCCATATTATAAAGTATACATTGTAAAATAATCATTGTAGATATTGTGTTGTCTGAAAAAATAACCGATTATTCATATTGTATATCAACAACATTAAAATAATCTCAATATCTTTATATCAATATATAGAAAAAATCTATGGCCTAATTTACCTCAGTCCAAGAGTTTTTATGAATACAGGATCTATAATAGCTGTTTTATGTACTGAAATTTCTCGAGAATATTCAAATTAATAATAGGATAATTCTAATTTTCTTATTCCTCATCATATTCTGTAAAAAAGCCACTAGCAGAAGTTTCAGAAATATATAATAGAATTCAAATGTGTTGATTGATAACTGAAACTCGTTGTCCTATAACTCCTCTACACATTTCAGTGCTAAAGTTCGTATTATTATGATGAATATCTGCAAAAAAGTATGAGGATCTACTCTAATTTGCTTTTCAGTTCAAAATTGATAATGCCCGAAATACGAGGTTATTTATAGTTGCTCTCTTGGAAATTGGCTATTTGGGCATATTGGGGAACATCAATTATACTCCATTCGATGCAAAGTTGCAATTTATTTTTCGCTCTGTTATCACTACGGTAGTCCATGCATTTTGAAATATTCTTGAAGAACGGTTATCTAAGAATTTGAGACATATTCATTCGGTAGATTCAAATTCAAATAGAGCGCGAAGACAAAAATAATATTGAAAAACACTTATGATTCATACATTTTCAACTAACGATAGATTAGTTGTGCTGAAAAAGCTTTCAAAATAAAACTAAAGCTGCCATATTCATATTGTATAATATTTCATATGATTGTCTTGTCATTGACCTGATTATTCAACAGAAAACCAGATTTCTGTAAAGTACCTAAATTATAATTTCGAAACCATGTTGATTGTACAACAATGAAAGAGGTTAACTTCTTCGAACCTGAGATGATGGTCAATCCTACCGAATTATTAATAATACTGATGATGTTATAGAATCAGGATAATGTTCATGAATAATCATCAATATTCATTATTCATTCATTATCTAATATTCGATTCCTAGAATAATGCAAAAAATATCGCGATTCTCTTATATGTATATTTGAGTAGAAATATGAGAATGAGAATAGATTGTTTAACCATGTTGAACATTGTTTAAACATTCATAATTTATAATCTAATTGGAAACCTGTTTCCTTTGTTCTATTGATATTCAACAACATGTAAAAAATGACAATAATTCCTTGAATTATGTAAGGGATCGGGATATTAATTTTTCTCATTATGCCATGGAAACAAAAATCTTGTAGATAGAGAAAAACCATCGAATTAATAACCGTGATCTATAATAATTATTGATATTTGAACAAAATTTTGAAACTTTTGCCATTTGAATTGATGATCACAATAATCTATTATTTTCCTTCAGTTGAAAGCTCACATAAATTACTAGGTTGCCGTTAGATTTTTTTCTTTCTTAGCTTTGGATACCTTTTTCCTTAATATCGATAAATATGTGTGAACAAGTAATTATCGAGCAAATATGCAAAGTTTTGAGTAGGTTTTCATTGTTGTTGCAAACATCTCATGGTCCTTAGCCCATCAATCATATCGTCAATCATTAACTATATACATATAATTAAAAACTTATTCTTATTGATAAGATAATTATCTCCACAATGTTAAAAATAAAAATGTAATCAACTCAAGAATTCATATTCCACATAAAATCACTTGGAATAATGGATTAATGCTAATTCTTGCCTTCTTACATCACGTTTTCAGGTTTCTATTGAAAAAAACATATTTCATCTGCTGAAATGGGAAGTCCAATTTTGTTACTTTGAAATAGCGATTATGTGGTCATAGTTAATGAAATGAGTTGTAAAAAACAAAATAATATAGAAGAATACTATATTAGATACTTTCACTCTACGGCGAATTATTGACTGTTGAAAGTGAAATTATAAGTTAATAGAAGGTGAATATCTACTGATTCAAAACTGTTGCTACTGTTATGTCTTATTACATCTCACCTAACTCCGTATACAGGGTGTATCAATCATATTTTTCCCAATTGTCAATGCTGACCAATATGGATACATACTTGTTATGTGTCTCATTTCATCTCGCTATCTATACTTGAAAAGATTCTGGTATGAGATTTCAAACATTATTATCCGCCATTTTGTTTCGGAAGAAAATATTTTTGTCTAAAATTCAAGTGTCGTGTGAAGCCTCAAATGAGGTATTACTCGAACCCCCGTTAATTTTGAAACTATCTTCCAAAATGGCGTCTATCTAGAAAGATACCTATTCAGATTTTCGATCTGAATCAAAATGTACACTTGAAGTAAACATAATAGCAAAAAATAATAAAAATGTATCTAGAGGAGGCTAGTTATTATGGATAAAGTGTAAATAAACCAGTATCAAGTTCGAATATGTACCTCCCTTTCGAAACACACGGCCGAAGTATTTTAATAATTTTTAAGAAAATGATTACCATAGCAGTTACTCTTGGTTCAGACATCCTGTATAATCCAATCCAATACTTGAAAGTTCCTGATGAGAAGATAATGAGTTGTTGTCTGTATAAAAAATAATATATCACAGCCTTCTATGTATGGAATATAGATAATTTTCGCTTTGCTATAATATCTTTCAATCAAATAGGCATGCAGCGAATTTTTATGGCTCTGAGGGTGTAAGGAAAAATATTTGCATAACATTCAGAATATTTGAACTGTAATGCAAATAATGTATCATATTTTCAACGAAATGTGTATATTTTGTACGTATGCTTATATTATTCATCACTTCAATATCTGATGTAGGTATATTGCGAGCCGGATATTTCTATCGACTGTTTACTTCTCATGAATGTTTCCTCAGAATGGATGTGTATATGGATAGCGACATACTCATTAGTTCTTTCGGAATTAGGCCTATTTTTGATTTATACTTATTCTTATTTCATCATAGCATTTACTTGACAATTCACACTGTAAATAATTAATTTCTCACCAGACGTGATGTCAACCAGCGATTTCACGAGAAGTTGAATGAAAAAATTGGATCTACTATGTCGACCATCATCAGCTTATTTTTTTACACAATTTTCAATGCATAATGAAATTTAATTGACGTAAAATTGGTTGCAGCCCCGTATATCAAGCAATGCTACGAAGGTGAACCTGACGTCATAGAATGTTTCAAAGGAGCCATACACCACCTGAGGCCATACTTGAGGCAAGGAATAAAAGAAATTGAACTACCCTCCGTTGAGCCCTTCAAAATGGAAGAATTAAGCCTTTCTCTCACCACAGGACCGAACGGGTACAAGGTGTCGTTGAAAGATATCGATGTTTTTGGAGCTAGCCAATTCACAGTGAGGAAATTGAGGTGAGCATCCACTCGAACGTCGATTATATCTAATCAGAATGGCATTCAAGGTACAAGTCCGCAGGTTCCTCGGGGATCAAAGCTTGTATGTACGGATTTGACAAACCCGAGATACCCTAGACGGATACTCTGGTATACTCTTTAGTTTCTAATCTTTCCTATCAGGCTCTCTTGGCCAATTCTTTTTTCTTTCTTCTTTCTAAAGCCCAACCTCACAATGGTGCGGAGGACAAGCCGAGGCTGCTCGGCAGATGGAGCATTTTGTAGACATATATTCTTACATCACTCAGATGGGACAGTCTTGTGGACATCTGTTTGCAAAGATGGGGCAATTTGTGAACATCTGCTTATTTGGCCGCGGATTGATGAACGATGCTCTGGCATTAGAGCCCAGCCATAGCACCACTATAGGGGAAATATAGCCACGGTGGCAAGTCAAGAGCGTATAACATTGTTTTGTAGTTTGTTTTGCCAGCAGCGTGGTGGTCATTTGAGTAGTGTTCCTTCCTCCTGTGATAACATATGCGTGTCTTGTGTATTGCAGCATCTCACCTACTCATGTCAATAGGTTACAGGTGCTGCAGAACAAAGTACTTCGTATTATCACCAACGGTGATAGATACTGGCAGATCTCCATGTGTTAATTCGCCTAAAATCAACAAATTCATCCGGAAAATGTCAAATAAATTCTACGAATACCACATCGCTGGAAGTGATATTACTCGGAACATCACCACACTACGCCAACACCATAACATACGCAAAAAACACGTGCTGATATATGCATCAACCGATGTGTTAAGAGAACCTGATAATCTATAGTTGGGAATCTCCCCGGATTCTCGGACATACCCGAGACACCGGGGGGATCTAGACAGGACTATCTCCCAAGCAGGAAAATAAAAAAGTGCAGTGGACGTGAGAAATCACAGACAGCCACTGGTCTCGGGCAACACAGAAATGTGCAGTACAACTGCCCGAGCAAAACAAGAAGGAGGTTTTTACGGTTTTTACAAATTTTTTCCTCCAAAAACACGAGACTTTCCCCATACTGATCGCGTCTGAACAGCTTCATCACCCTCTTGGGTACCTTCAGCGAGATTATATAAAGGGCCTAGCATATCCACTCACACATTCCCTGGCCAAAACCAGCCACCTCTGCGCCAAGCAAAGGGACGCCCAGATACATGTGTCTGAATGTGTTGTACTCAAAAAGAACAAATAATAAATGACTTTAATACTTCCTCCGAACGAAGAAACCGGGATTCGATCCCTACTAATCTTTTTTTTGATTTCTTTTTTTCGAGGTAATTAATCGAAAGAATACTATGGAGGCATTCATTGGTTTGGCAATAGTGATTCGCTATTTCAATTATGTTTCTTCCCAGTATCAGCCGTAAATTTTCAGTTTCTCGCGCCCAGCGAGCAGCGGGCGAGGCGCAATATTACCTCGCTATGGTGCTATGGCTAGACTCTAGTTGCTCTGGCAACCTAATCCAATAAGTTGTGGGAACCCGTGACGACGGATGAATGGCACTGAGGATATATGGTGTCGATAACGAGACATTATAGCCCTGTGCAGGGGTCACCTCAGGGCTGGACTAACCTCTTCCTCCACTACTTTTTGGATGAAAATGTTGGCCATTTTCATGGACAAGATCATCAGGGCTCGGAAGAGTATACTTCAGGAACCTGAACGAAAAAGGTCTTTCAAGTGGTCACGTGATGGTATTTGTAGTGGCCCTTATATAAGAACCATGGATCGTATATGATTTGATCAATAACGGCTTATCCTTGGTTAGATACAATGGGCCAATTGACCATTCCAGAACACGTGATTTCGACACGTTTTCTTAGAGGGCACACAAACTATCCTACTACTTCTGGTTTCATATGACCTGGATATTTTTTTTCATAATATGCTATATCTTGAATAGTTTCAATAGAGACACGTCGCTGCCAAATTTCAGCAGATTACGACGAATCATTTCCGTAATATCGACCATCAAAGTTATATAGAAATTTCACATATTACCCTGTATCTTCGTTATGGGGGTCAAAAAATGTTTTCATATATAAACATCAACTCGTCTTGATTTCCATTATCAACCATTTGGCTATGAAACTTCTCATGAAACACCCTGTATATGTAAATATTTGTAGATAATACACAAAGGGTAAAGTTTCAATTTCGACTTTTCAATTGATATGCTTGTACAATTCATAAATAACATTGATATTGCACTACTTTTACTCTGTGAAACTAACATATCTGTTTGGTAAAATTGTGTATAGTCCAATTGATGTAGTTATTCTTCTAAATATTCACATTATTTCATTTTCATAGAGCTAATCATCATATTGATCATTGCAGGTTGAGCACCGAAAAATCACCCTTTGAAACCAAAATTAAAATTCCTCAACTGAAAATCCATTCAAGATATGAGAGCAGTGGGGTTTTGATAATCTTACCAGCAAGTGGTAATGGTACTTTTGATGGAAAATTAGGTAGGTCATTCTTTTCTAAGATAACTTGTAGTTATTAGGAATGCTTCTTTTGTTATTTCATGTTTATACTCGCAGTGGTCAAATGTTTCACCTGATGTTTGTGCAACTTTTCAATGTATATGTGACTAGACCCACCACACTTCAGTTTTTGTACTCATAATTTTTCTTTATCGATAGTACAATTGAAATCCCAAGTCATGCAAGTTCCCTTCAGAGCAGCTGCTGTATCATATTCGAGAAGGTTCTTAGTTTATGTGCCGCGCTCAGAACAGTGGGGTGTTGAGTTCTTGATCTGTTATTCATTTGAAGAAGATAATGAAATACTCTCCCAGAACAGTACATAATTGTTGACATATTCAGGATTCTCTTCCACTTCCGATGATTCTCGAAGTGGGAGAAAGTGACGATAAATGAGAATGAAAGTTCATTCCAATTTCACTTTTTCATCTTCATCAAAAGAGTGTACCAGTGCATCTGATGGACCGATTTTCTCGGCGCATGATGCTGATATACACGGTATCCAGTGTTTCAATATTTTTCATCAGCCTTCTTTGTGATTCCTAGATTTATCATAGCTATACAAGGAATGTTTCAAATCCACGAGTTTTTGTCTTTTTACCAGAGAACAATAGAAAACGTAATTTTTTATAATACCTCTAGCTGATGACAGGTAAATATGTCACTAAAGACAAGTGAATAAGTCACTGACGACGAGTGAATAAGTCATTAATGACATGTGATTAGTTCACTAATGACAAGTGAACAAGTCACTGATGACAAGTTATTAAGTCAGTAATCGCAAATGAGTAAGTCACTAGTGACAAGTGGATAAGTCACAAATGTCAAAACAATATGTTACTAATGACAAGTGCTGTTTTACTAACTGTTATCAATCTGAAATTCAATGAAACAAGTTATAATAGAGGTTGTTTCCTTGTCCCAAATAGTATACAAGTTTTCACTTGCCACTATTAAATATCATCAGGGTTAGCTATTTTTTTTCTCCGTGTAGAACATTCAATCATAATGTGAGGGATGAAATTATATATCCGATGAAAACTCCAGTATTTTCTTGTGGAAGATATTTGACCATTCAAATTATTGCTTACTATACCAGTACATTGGATATTATGAATAATGTGAATCAAATTGTTATTTTTCAGATGATATTCTTGCAACTGTTAAAGGAACAGTCAAGATTCAAGAAAAAGACAATAAGAAATATCTTCACGTTGAAACTCTTACTGTGAATCTTTTGGTCAAAGACATTCACTTAGAGGTGAAGAATATTTACAACAATAATATAATTTTGAGTGAGTATGCTATCAAATTACTGTGTGGACATAAAGTATGAAACGTTATCAATGAATTCTATACCGATGATAAAAACAATAAGCTTGACATACAGATATTCTTTGTAACTAAACTAAAGTCATATTCTGAAATAAACAAATTCAAAGATCATTTCTCAAGAAGACTAACAGCTATCCTGCTTCCAATAAAACACCTAACAATTTCAGTAAATTCATAAAAATACCAAATACATTCTATATTTTCCAATTCACCTGTTATACACTACTTGAATCCATCTATTGATATCTGCATTCTTTTATTTTCAGCACAAGCTATTAATCTATTTCTCCGACAAAACGGGATGGAAGTTTTCAATGTGATGCTCCCGCAACTCAAACTGAAACTTTCGAAGTTGTTCATGGACATTGCCAACTCTTTACTATCTCATGTGTCTTTGGATACCTTCTATGTACCTAAAGGAACATCCGAAGAAGTAACAAAGCATTGAGAGGGGCACCAGTTCAAGAAAATAATAATGTCCCAGTTTCAGTGCACATCAGATTGCTCAGTAATTTCACAATAGCTACTTCTTTAACCAGTACAACTTCTATGTGAAGGTTGAGATATTTTTTTATTTTGATGCTAGGATGCCAGATAACGTCAGAAACTGCTGTGTTCCGAATAGTGTTAGACAATTTCACATATTTTATTCTATTATTGTAATTTGTATAGTTCAAATCTTATTTATACAGTGATGATTATGGGTGTATTCGAATATGTGATTTGGAAATAGAACCACCTCTTATTTATCTTCCTATGATTTCTTTGAATCGATGAAGGAAGCGCCAATGACCGACTGATTTTTTTCTCCTCTAAAATGGTCCATATTTGTCGATGAACTTCTCAAGAAATCAAGCACAGCTAGTTTCGATATTCAACGCAATGCGAATGACGTCTTCGTAATTATAAGAGGCAAAAATATGATAGAGTCTTATCAAGCCTAAAACAGGCTACATCCAACAGACTGATGCTTGCAGAAATACTTGAATGTAAAACAAAGCAAAACAGACATCGTTTCATCCACCAAGAGAAGGTAGATTGATCTGAAGGAACCCATAGTAGACCTACATCTACTTCTCTGAAGAAATCAAATATTTATAGGAGTTATTCCACATGAATATATGGCAATCTCAGCTGGGTATGTCGGAGAATGTCAAACTTGTGATCTTGAATCAAAAATGATCCACAGTGGTCAAACTTATATGATCACATCCGCTTTCTTTCTACGGTGGACCAAATGTAAGGAAAACATTACAGCATAAGCTGCAAAACATCTAAAGACGGGGCAATGAGAGCTATGCTCGATCTACTTCCCTAAATTTTTTCATCAATAGGACTGCAGCTCTCAGGGAATGCAGACTATCATTCTTTGAAAAACTAGATCACCAGTTCATACCAGCGAATGATCTCCTCTTCCCGCATATTTCAGTGTTACTTCACACCAATTTGTATAGAGCACCGGTGTTTGGTGCTATTTCGGCACATTTCCAGGTGAATCTTATGATCCTAAAATTGATGTAAAGTAATACCAATCTGTTGTGTAGTGTGTAGTATCATTTGATTAAATTTTGCACTGGTTTGGTGTGAATTACAATACTTCTGATCATATAAAGTCACACCTTTGTGTATACACATCATTATGACTTGATCAAATCTGCGATGATGTACGATGTTTATTAAATATGGAAAAGGATCAGTTTCATGATAAAAGTTATGAAAAATAACACCTACCGGTGTTATTAGTTGAGTTTGTGTTTTTGATGTTTGGTACACTGATTTGAAAATGAAAGAAGGGGTAGTCTTAGGTCACTTCGCAGGGGTAGTTTTTGGTCACTCCTCTACTATCTTACAGGCTGGAATGTATGCCAACAACCTATGCGCCCAAAAAGTGCAGAGTTTGCATTCTTTGGTCCCGAGACTTTCTATGGGACAAGAAAATGCTACCTAATGACAAAGCTCAAGAAATTGGTGGAGGCTGGAAAAACAAGAAATTCCTAAGCTGGAGGACTAAAATTAGATGAGGGTACTCACAATAATGGTACATTATACACCTAGGGAATGAAGTGGTATTTTAAATCCCTATACAAAAAGTTTATATAGCCCGACCAACGCGAGAGCTCTAATTTGTCGAGGGATTTTTAAACACTTTAGTCCCGAGGTATATACAGTATGATGCAAATGAATGGAATGAATTCATTATTTTAGAAATGGGCAACATTTGAAAAAAATTCAAAAACGCGTGAGTTTTGATTTTTGAAGCCTCATTTCATGATATCCATATGGGAGATGTTACGTCACCTGTGTTGGAGTAATGACGTAATGGACGATTTTTTTAAATACAAACAGGGGTCATGTGACACCTCGTTCGAAAGGTCTACTGATCGTCTATTCAACAGTCGAAATTTTGCATAAGAAGATTGAAATCAAAATAGATTATCATTTGATCAAATGAATTTTGCAGAGGTCTGCTACTGAGAATGGAACAACGAAGAGTTGTCTAGTTAAAAAATACATCAATTAAAGAAGTTCTAAACTCTATTTTATGGATTTTTTTCGAAAGTCGTCTTATTTTGAAATGAATTTATTTCATACATTTGCATCATAGTGTATACTATTTTATGCACTCCAGGATAGGTAAAACATTTGAGAAAAAATAACGAATTTTTTTTTTAATTATACTGAACGGTAGTTACTCTTTTTCTAAAACATCATCGAATGGGGCTGATTGTTACCATATCAACGACCTCAGTAACTATGGTGATCATGATTGTCATCAGCAACTGAAAATCTTGGTGTGTTATGACAAGTAACTAAGTAAAATTAACATAAATGAATATGAGTCAAACACGCCACACCGATTGAAAGATTGAAAGACATCTGAGTTCATCAAATGGTGCAAAGAACGGAACGTAAAAAAATGTACAGAAGAAAAAGTACTGCTAGGATATTTCTTGCAAAAGTCAAAAAAGCGTGAATCATCCTTGTGGAGCGTATATTCGATGATAAAAGCCCCAAATGCAAAAGAGATTTTGAAAAAACATTTCTTAATTCAGATTTTATTGCAAAGAAATTCACTTTTAATCCCTAGGGATCTGAAGTACCACTTTTTTTCCCAGAAAATAGGGAATGAAGGTACCCTTCAAATCCCTTAAGTGCATAAAAGATATTCTAGGTCGCAATGATTGATTGATACGATCTACAATTGATTCATCCATTCTCAGTTAATAGAACTTCAAACAAATTCAGACCGAGAAAATTCAAGTAATTAGATAATGAATGAAATGAAATTATTTAATCGTCAAAAAATACATACTCTGAATAATATTGAATTTGAAAGTTATCCTAGGACATTTGCCAATTATTGATGATAGGATAACAGCCAGACCCAAGAGTTTGCTTTCGATGGGATCTTCGAGAATTTTGGGCTGCTCAAATTTTTTGTGTAATTACGTTTTATATATAACACCTCATTTCAGGGGTATGTGGTGTGTCTATCATACCATGTCTTCTGACTAAATTCAAACGTAAGTTCGACGTCAGTTTCACGTCACCCTGCTACCTGGAAGTCGAGTGAAAGTGCTAATTACGTGATAATCACATTATTATAACCTGAGACACAATACATATTCAAGTGAGTGAAAACAAAGATGAGTACTGTGACTCATTCTTATAATTTTCCCCGTCATATGACGTCAACTTGAGAATCCATTGAATCAACTTTACTGAAATCCTAACTGAAATCAGGTAGGAAATAAAAGTGTGTGTCTAACATAATAATTGCACCTGAATGTATTTTGATCTTAATTGAAGTTTCAATAACTGTCGATGATTCCAGGCCATTCGAAAGTGTACGAATGGCTGTCCTCATCATGCCGGTGACTCTTCTTCATTAGTGGTCTACTTCTGCCCCTTCTTCTGCTAACTGCTCTTCCTCGACAATCAACAGTGACGGTCACGGTCAGTAACGCCGAAGGAGGTCAGTCTTCAGTCTTCGACAACAATTTCTTTCTTCCAGATCTCGAAGTTATACGCGAAAAGAATGAAATTGTTTTTCACGATCGGTCTCATCTTCACGGTGGTGCAGTTCGTGATAGCTCAGAACCGTAAGTATCAAAATTCTGTATTTTTTCCATACAACTATTACAAGAAGGCACATCTTTGTGTACTCTGTGGATTGAACTGATTTTGAAATAACTGTGAGAGTGATAATGAAAACTTTCTCACGTTTGTCACTAGGCAGCATACAAGCTTTTGGTGAATTGGGTACTGAAAACCAAAGGGGTCTAGTAACCACTGATCCCCTTGTTATTTTAATACAAGCACTAGTGACTTCACAGCTACTTTCCCAAACTTCTCACTCTTTAAATTTTGATAAAATAATTTGTTTCAAAAATAATTAAAATGAAATTGATCCTTGATTGGTGTCTAAACGGAGGTCAAGGACCAATATTTACTTGTCAAGTCATTCCTGAAATGAATTATTTTCAAAAATCCATAGGAATAAAGATTCAAAATCACAGAACTGGTTATAAAGAGTACGAGTTCTGTGTCCAAATAGATGATAATTGTCACTGCACAGGTATTGAAGAACAAGGGGGCAGGGCTGCTGTACTCTTCCTTTTTTAAATTTTTTGTCTTATTTTGCTGAGAACCTCATAATGAGCATTCTCACTGACTTTAGCCCACATAATTGAATGACAAATCGCAATCATTATTTTGGTGGAAGAAGTAAGTTCCTAAAGAGATTCCTATTTGGTTGTTGGTACTTACCGAACATGTTTTTTTGTCTGTTATGGCAAACATATGAATAAAATAGAAAATAGTCGAGGGGTCGAGGAATTATTTTCCGCTGAATTTATGAAAGGGATGAGGAGATGAGCGAAGTTATAGTTCGCTGAATTCATGGACTCACCATATCGCCTTGTTGTGGTTTCTTACAGTTATCGAATATGTGGGTCAACGATTGCATATATAAATAAATATACCGTTTAACGACTTTTTTCCAAGTAGAATTCGATCATTGTTTTTATCCCAAATAATCTAAGATCCGAGGTAAGGCCGACCTTCACTCATCTGGTTAATGGATGAACATTATTTTATAAGTAATTTAGCATGTTGAAACATTTGAAAAAATGGGTTGCCTGGAAAAGTCCTGGCTAGGCTATAATGAATCAAAAATTCAAAAATCACATTTTTTCAATCTCTACACTGGGAAAACTCGGCCAAGTAAATCGTTTCCATGAAAAAAAGTCCATTATGACACCAACAAATCTTCACCAACGGTAGGAAAATAAGGTACTTGAAGTAGGCAACACAATATTTCTGAAACAATGTTTCTGCTGTAACTGATCAGGACACTTGTTGGTATTAACCAAATCGATATGTATTTTGAGGTCGCTAATTATAAGTGACCACACAGCTAGTGGTAGGTTAATGAATACTCATGATTATTAAATTATTTTTCTGAGACAAAATCACTTGCTCTGAAGACAATCTATCAAGACGATTGGTGCCGGTGACAGCTCACCTGTGATTATGCGACCACTCCCACTGTCCACGGCTTCATTATGATCCTAGCATTTGTAAAGTATACATGCGTTCTCGCTGGTACAATTGAAATTCCAAGTCATGCAGGAGCCCTTCTGGACAACTGCTATATCATATTCGTATAGATTTTCAGTTTGTGTGCCGCGCTCTGAGCTGTGGGGTGTTGAGTTCTTGATCTGTTATTCTTTTAAGGAATATAATCA